GAATAACCTATAAAATTCACTGTTCTTCTACCAAACTTATAATATTATAGGTCTAATAAATTCCATATTAAGTGCAGAAGTCCTAAAATTAAGAGTTGACCGCGATGTAGACAAGTAAGAGCTCACTGTTGACAAAGGTGCCATCTTGGGGAGTCAGATGCGAGTGACGAGCGAATTTCGGCCTTAAAAGCACAATGTCTGACAAACAGGCTGATCCCGACATGAAAGGCTGGCTGTATAAGTGGACCAACTACCTCAAGGGTTACCAAAAACGTTGGTTCGTGCTCTCCAATGGCCTCCTGTCCTACTACAGGTAAGTCGGACGAGCCAGAACTTGTCTCTCGCTCGGACGTAAACACTTGATATTCTGAGGAAGAAACTCACGATAAGAAAGTAATGTTTGAGCGGTGTGTTCGGCCACGCAATTCCGTGACATTTCCTAGTATACTTCCGCCACAATGATTTCTCAAACCAACTTTTAGTTTAGATAGAACTTCTCTTAACAACACGGTCATCCTGGACACACCGGAGGATCACCTACCTGTCCTGTTACTAATATTACCTGACATTTGCTCATTCCTCCATCCAGTTGTGGGACAGGGATGGATTTCTTGGTTTTTGGATTGATTTTTGGACCATGACTTGCTGTTTGTGGTTTATAGGGGGGGGCTGGGGGGATATCAGGTGTGTAAGATTTTGAAAGATTTTTTATTTTATTTGTTTTACTATTTGCTGTTTTATGAGGTCATGGGAATCATTGTTTTCTTTAGTCTGTTTGAGAATATTCTTTTGATTGAGGTTTGCTTGGAGAATGTAACTTTGGTCGAACCAAAGAGACAAGATAAAATTGGACTTTGTAAGATTTGTAACAAACTCTATCATTTTATTGATAGTGTCAGGATGTTAAAGCACATATAGCGATATGTTTTGATCTTTGTATTGCATCGATGTCTAAAACACAACAACAGATACATTACAAAACCTTAGTATAGTTTGAGTAACAAGTTCATAATGAGTTACTACAAGTTTTTTTGTTCATATTCACCTCATTTTGGAATCATGACTATTAAGATATAGGAGAACGTTTTGAAGACACCTGCAGTAATTTCCAAAGCCAGATTTTCCTTCTCGTATATTGGCTTTTCTCTCAAATCCAGTAAAAAATTGTTATCAAGATGGATAAGCTGCCATCTGAAATCTGATATAATTAGGTGGAATGGAACACCATGCTCTCAGGACTTTGTACTCTCGCAAAGGCTAGCAAATGATACATTCTGGCAAGATATGGCTTGGGCTGATTTCTTGTGTGAAGATAAATTGCTCGGGTATCCTATAAAGCTCCATCTTATCAAAATACTGAGGAGGTTTGTCAATGTTTTTGGAGGTCTGACAAGTGCAGAGCCTACATTTCAGTCACTTACAGATGTGTGGATGTCTTCTAAACATCTATTCCGTGATAAGATTTGGATAGGTTTCTGTTATGAAGTGCACATAATTTTCATAAGCTCCTCAAGATAAAAACCTTTAAGAACTAAGAGACATCATCAGACAGAATATAAAACAGTAACGTATCAAGCAGTATTTTGGCTTTATATATTTTTTTTCAAGATGAAAGCATTTATGGAGAAGAAGTAAACATTCTTTTAATTCACAAAACTGTCAACCCAGTAAAGTCTGATTAGCTCTATAGATTTCTGCAATTTTACAATGGCTTGTTTTGATTTACAGAAAATTGTTTTTATTTTGGTTAATTACAATAATATCCAGCAATGCCACTCCAGCAAATGTCAACATATCATCAAATATTAACTGGCAAGACAGAGCATGGGCTGGTTCTTTCTTAGACAATGAAAAAGGTTTACAAGCTCTTTCATGTGAGAATATATGTTGCGGAGGTTTGTTGGTCAGTGTGAAAAGTAGATAATGGGATTACTTTTACTTTGCTCATTTTTCAAAATTTGTTTATATATTTTTTCCTAGTTGTTTATATATTCTCTCGATTTTCTCAGTCTCTGTGCACTGTTATTGTACATAATTATCTTATGTTCTTGAAAATACATACTTGCATTGGTGAGTTAGTGTTTCAGTTTGAAGTGTCAAATGTGAGGGGCTTAGGTAATTATTGTTGCATTTGCAATAGGGTTACATGTGACCTCTGCTAGTAAGACAAAAACCAACAGCTTTCTACAGAAATATCTTTGCAAAAGAGATAGATAGACCTCCCTGGTAATGCATCTGTTGTTGGCCTTTACTGGAGTGTTGTAAAGGAACTGTAAGATGTATCTTCCTCAATTATATTTGATAGAAGTACGTTGTAACCTCTGCTAGTAAGACAAAAACCAACAGCTTTCTACAGAAATATCTTTGCAAAAGAGATAGATAGACCTCCCTGGTAATGCATCTGTTGTTGGCCTTTACTGGAGTGTCGACAGGCAGAGAGGCTGTTTAAATCTCAAAAAACTGTTCCAGTTGAGTTAAGATATAAGGCCATCCATCGCAG